TGTAGTCCCTCTCCAGTATGGGTCCTGTGATCAAAACGCCCCGGGCCTCCGGAGTACTGTAGGAACAAGCTGCGCATCTCATCCTGCAAAAAGCACACGCCACGCAGCAAAGTCTAATTCAACACTGCGCAAATTGCAAGATAGGTAACCTCCAGGAGCTCATTGCAGTTTCAAAGCTCGTGCAGCAAGCAGAAGTGTTTGCAACACTGGCAGAATCTGGCAGAGCTTGTCTGAGGGCTGGGTCACCCAGTGGGTGTCTGGAGGGATGCTGAACCCAGCTGCACGTAGCCCAGCACCTGCCAGAAAGTCGGGATATGCCAGGTGGGAAAAAATAGACAAACATGTCTGAGGTGTCGCTTGGAGTTGCCACTGCAGATCTGCTGTCAAGTGGGACGAACAGCCTGTCGTCATTGCCTCAGCGTCGCCACGACCAGAAATTCCAGATGCAGCATCTTGTCACTGAGGCCGGCTGCCATTACCAAGATGGCAGATGCCCTCCTTGTGCAGTATGTGGCCTGGCAGTGTGCGGGAGGCGGCTAAACTAGACGCGTAGGTCTAGAGCCCAATCCTGGAAGAGCATGCTTGCACGTGGTCTAAGCGACTCTAAAGAAACACTTGTATACGACAGGTCGTTATGTTGTCTCATCAGATTCTGCAGCAGGTGTGCTGGCCGCATTTCTTTTTTGGCTCGTTCATCCACTGCTTTACAAACCGGACCCGGCATACACGGCAACAGTTTGGGTGTCGGTGGCAGGAACTTAGGGAATGACCTGACCCTGCAGGATCCCCTGCTCGTCAGATGAGAAGGGGAATCAAGCTGAGATGACGGTGTGCCACGATCGCTTGAAGGTGTCAAAGAAAATGTCCCAAGCGCATGCGAAGCTTAAAAACCTTCTCCCTTGTGGTGCAATTCTGGAGATGCTGCAGCTAGTGAATACCTCCGTAGCATCCTGTGGCCCGGGCCAGCTTGGGGTGCTCCGTGAGTAGGCAGGAAAGCTTGGCAGCCATTCGATAGCGGCTAGCGGCTACTGAGAAGCGCCTGGCAGCTCTTTCAATGTTGCTGCATATATGTCAACAAGCTGGGTCATTGGAGTGCGGAGGCAGGAAGCATTGTGACGCTGACGCTCTTCGTCGTGCCCAGACCTTCTTGCCCGGCTTTGAATTTGCTTTCCTGCGTGGCACCAGCGATGCAAGCGGGAGTTCAACATCAACATGGGACTTGTTGAAGCAGCAATGTGTCAACCAGATGGTCGTAGGGACAAGTGAAGGCCTGCCTTGGAAAGTGTTTTTATATTCGGCGTGTAAGAGGGTCAGGGCGGCAAGATAGTGTCTAGAGCACTTGGTTAGAAGCACCTGCGGTACATTGAATCAGCAAGCATGTCGTGACAATTTGAAGCGCCCTCAGGAAAGTGATTCAGCGGAGACAGACAGCGAATGGCATGAGGGTGACACATTTCCTTCAGCTGGTCGTAAAGACAAGGAGTCGTGAAGCGAGCCGACGCTCGAAAGCCAGAGTGCTCTTGAGTTTGAGCTGATCCGCTTTTTTGCAGTACTTTAAGCTAGGTTTTCTGAGGCCGTTTGGGGTTTTCGGATAGAAATCAGCAGTCAAGGGAAGCATCGCGGCACTGTTGCAACTGTTCAGCGAGACTACTGCAACGATATCATCTTCTACAACACAACACTTGCAGCTGCCAAGGAACGCCGTGAATGGGACCTGGCTTTACATCTGTTTGCCAAGGCAGCACAGAGGCGAGTACAAAAAGACGTAGTGTCGCTGAACACTTGCATGAGTGCTTGCGCCAAGGGCATGTTCTGGGAGAAGGCAATCGGCCTCTTGCACGACGCTGCTACGCACATGCTGCAACCTGACGTTATATCGATGAACACTTGCATCAGCGCATGTTCTCGAGCATTGCTTTGGGAGCGAGCGCTTGTGCTGTTCTCAACGCTGCCCACTTGGAGAATCGAGCCTACAGAGGTGACATCGTGTGCGTTGATCACGGCCTTGGAGAAGGGCACTGCCTGGCAGACGGCGCTTTCACACTTTGAGGGTCGCATGTCTGAGAACGCACCGAGCGTTTCTGCTGTGACAGTCAACAGCACAATTGCAGCCTGCGACCAAGGGAATCGTTGGGACATTGCGTTGGGACTTTTCCATCGTGCGCGGCAGCAAGCATTGGTTGACCTTGTGACCTACAACTCCACCATCAGTGCCTGCTCCCGAGCAAGCCGCTGGACCCATGTACTGCAGCTGCTGAACCTACTACAGCAGAAACGCATCTCCATGGACCAACGCACTCTGAACTCCGCAGTAAGTGCATGCCAGCGCGCTAGACTTTGGCAAAGAGCGAATCGCATATTGTCTGATGCAAGGGCAAGCGCTCTGTCACCTGACGTTTTCACATACACATCTGTGATATCGGCTTGTTCCGATCATCAGCATTGGATGGCTGCCATAAAGGCGTTTACCAACATGAGACGGCAGGCTGTATTCCCAAACAGCCACACCTACAATTCTCTCATCGACGCGTGTGGCAAAGGACAACAGTGGGAAGCAGCTGTGCATTTTGTGCATCAGATGTTATGCGATGGGGTTGAGCCCAACGCCGTCACGCTGAGCTCAATTACCGCAGCATGTCAAGAAGGGAGGGAGTGGGAACTGGCACTGAGCATCATGCAGCAACTATGCAGACGTGATGTCCAACCCAACATTGTTGCAGTCAACGCAGGTCTCAGTGCATTTGCTACAGGATGGCAGTGGGAATCAGTCCTGGAGTTGCTGAGCGCAATGAAGCTTCGTGGCTTCCAAAGGGATACAGTTTCGTTCAACACCGGCCTATATGCATGCCAGAGGAGCTACGAGTGGATCCAGGCGCTGGCGCTGCTTGAGTACATGCTGGCAGCGGCCGTTGATCCCGACGTCATCACAGGTGCCGGGGAGTCTAATTATTTGATTCAGAAAATAGGAAGCCACAGCTAATGAGTTGCCAGTGTACTCAGATTGGGTTAAGAGGCATAAGAGACTGTGAAATTGCTATCCGCTGCCGATTTCTCGGGGCCCCAAGCAAGAAGATCAAGAAGTAGGCGAAGCGTGAGTTTAGCAGCTCCAGCGTCGATTAGGTAGGTCTTCCATTGTTCCCCAACCCGTCTTCACTCAAAATCAGTCAAGCCTGAATTGAGCCACAGTGCTAGAAAACCCTCCAGCATGATGGGACTGCACACGGTCCCTCCCCGTTCACCTTGAATCTCTCCAAAACGCGAAGCTCAAACGAAGCAACAAACTTCCGCAAATCGTGCAGCACAATCTGACTAATCTGAAACAAGCCAGATTATTGAGGGGAAAATGCGCGGCGAGCAAACCAGACGTGAAGCCATGGCTGATTCCGCGTAGCAAGTTTACAACTGCACGCGCAGAAAAAAAGAGTCGCTTCCAAAAAGCATGTGCATACACCCCGCCTACTTGAGCCCGCGAGCTGTCCCAGCAAGTGGGCAAATCGAGCACAGTAGTGCTGTGTCGTCCCTGCAAGTTTGGCAGAATCATGAAAGCCTCCAATCTATCCCGGAAGCTTTCAAGACCTTGAGAGTTGTGCTAACATCCAACACACACTAGTAGCGTTCATGGATCGGAAAATCTCTAGGCAACATCATCGTGAGTGCCTGCGAGCGGGGCCACAGATGGGACGCCGCAATGGAGTTCTTGGAGTCAATGCGATCAACTCCAGGTTGTAGGCCCGGAGTCGTTGCGTACAGTGCCAGTGTTGCAGCGCTCTCTCATGGTCACAAGTGGCAGCAGGCCTGTGAGAAGCTGGCTCAAATGGCGAAGGATGGGTTGCAACCTAACGTGACGACATATTCTGCGCTCATAACTGCCCTGGAGCTTGGACAACAGTGGCAAAAGGCTTTGATGGCCTTCGAGGAAATGTCCTCCATGTTGGAGCCGGACACAATCTGCCTCAATGCAAGTATTAAAGCCGCGGCAAAAGGTTCCCAGTGGAGATCGATAGAAAGGTTCTTGCAGCGTTTTGACAATCTCTCCCTGTGGCCTGATGCTAGGACCTTTGCTTCCAGCATTGCTGGGTTGGCACGGGCTGGCCAGTGGCAACGTGCTCTTCATTGCCTGGAGAGATGCTTGCGTGAAGCGAGCTCCACTAGCTCCGCTAGCTCTGCTAGCTCCAGTTCTGCGAAAATCGATGTTGCTGTGAAAGCAGCCGTCTTTGGACTGTCGAAGCAATGGCTTTGGCAAAGGGTCCTCCAGCTCCTTGCTGCTTTTGGGATACAAGGCCCGCAGAGAGCTTCAGCCGAAGCGAGTGCAGCGGTCGCCAAAGGAGGCCATGCACTTGACATGTCCAGCCGAGACGCTGGTCCCATGGTCACTTTGGGGAGAAGCTACCGCACCTTTCGAGCTTGTTTTGCTACACTTCGTGAGGGCAGCATTCTGCCCAGGTTGGAGTACGACAATGCGATGATAGCTTTTGAGAGCAGCCCGGCGGGTTGCCACATGATTCGAGATGTTTCGAGTTGGTATGGTATGAGCCCTCAGCCGCCAAAATGCAATCCCGCTGATTCTGATCGGGGCTTGACCGCCAGAGGGCTTGAAGTCGAGTGGGACTACGTACTGTCTCGCTTCTTTGCGTGTTCATACTTGTTGCAAACCATCTCAACGTTTGCAGCGCAGCAATCATATGTTTGATGATCTTGCATGTGCAGGAGGTGCCAGGTGCCAAACACAAGGACTCAGAACACCTAGGGAGAGTAGGATGCCTACAAACAGCCTGCAGCAGGCCAGGTTTTCGGTGAGATGCTGTTCCAACATGTAAACATTCCTTCACATTGGATAACGTTTCCTGCCAGATCCTGCGAGCATGGTCCTGCAACAGGATCTTGCTCGCTTACGGTTAAGGGGTCCGCACACGTTGAATGCAATGCTGCCGCAACCAGTTGTTCTGAGCAATGGATCAAGCCGCATAGCGCAAACTATGCAGCCCTAGCCGAGTGTAGCCATGCCGGCTCGCAGGGGCGGAAGAGACAGCCGAGGCAGGAGGTCTCCCAGCTATCGCCTGCGAGACCGTGGTGGCAGCCGAAGTCCAAGTCGAGGAAGGGGCCGATCCCGTCGGGGAAGCCGCAGCCTCAGCAGGCGGGGAAGCAGGTATAGCCCCCCGCGGCGCCGCACCCCTCCCCGCCGTAGTCGCAGCCGGAGCCGGCGCGAGCGTGAGGAGCAGAAGAGACGGGAGGCCCAGAAAAAAAGAATGGAGAAACGACTCCCGCCTCCAGCTGTCCGAGGCCCGGATAAGCCCCAAGTCACGGAAGAGCACAAGGCCAATTCCATAGAGTTCAACGGCCGATACTATGCAACTCTCGACTTCACACCACCTAACTCAGGTGGAGACCCTGAGGGCCAGAAAACACGTATTCAGATGCCTTTCGGCTGGGAGGTGGCAGAGATCACTGATGACGTCAGGGACGCAGTCGTCAAGCTCTATACTTTCGGCACGGAGCTCGTAATTGGAGAGGGCGGCAAAGCTTTTCACACGGCAACGCGGCTGCTCAGATACCTTCCTGCTAAGTGCAATGAAGACGTGACAGCTGTCTTTGCTTAATGCCATATTGGTGGCATTCTGTTTCATGCCAATGGGTACTTGTGGAGATAGTTCAGATGGGTGCGGTGCTTTTGCCAGCTGAGGCCAAAGGAGCTCGTCCGGGTGCCTTGGAGATGATTTGGGACTACAAGACGCTTAGCTGCTTTTGGGCGGGAGGGCCACATTAGCTCATCTTGTCAGTCTCGACTCATTCGACGGACAGGCATTCGATGCTCAAGGCAAAGAAAAATCAAGAGATCTACAGAAAAAAGAGGTTCGAATTCTCTCTGTTCTGAACACATGCGGTGTTCAAGGCGACTAAGCCAGGTAGTCCAAAGCAAACCGCAAAAGTAGGAAGTCTCTAGAACCAGAACTGTTTGGCCAGCGAGGGGTGGGATGGACTTGAGAAGTGCGTCGGTTCCATTTTTTGTCCTTCACAACCTCAAGAAGCTTGGAGCAGACTCTCACGCTGTTAAAACCGCCAAAGCCACCCATGTTTTCCGAGAAAAAGTATTGACATGTGTTGACAAGGGGACTGGCTCTAAAATGGCCACAGCCTGACCTAAAGGCGCAGTACCTTACCATCAAACGCTCAGAGACTTGTTGTATGTCCTGGCTTTGGTTGGCCTGTAGATGTTAATAACGCATCGTGTGCCTTTGGGTGTTGCAACTTCGACTCTCAAGAGCAGAAGTATATTCATGCAAGTCTCGACCCAGGAAGGACATGGGCATGTACAATTTGCACCAGGACACGGGCTTGTTGAGGGAAGTTCGCTTCAGGCTTTTCATTCTTTTTCGACTTGGTGTTCACCCCCTTTTGCCGGGCATGGGGCTGAGGTTCAGTGTCGTAATGGGATCAAATTGGAAACATGCTGGTCACTCTTTTCAGAATTTTCAGCAGAAAAGCGTGCTGGATGAACGCTTGACAGCGGTGCCATCGTTGCCCGCCCAGGATGGCAGTCTTACCAACAGGCATGGCCGCATCCTGATCAGCATACCAATCCCAAAGATATAATTCTGAAAAACTGCTTTTTGATGTATATTGAAGGAATACGGGCATTCCCATTCATTGTTTGCGACTTCTGAGATGATGTTCAACTTAGCGTTATTGGACCCATTTTACCTCAGGCTTGGAGAATCAACTGAAATTCTATATATATATATATATAGATGATATAGATAGATTTTCTATTATGATAATGAGTCATAAGTACGTTCTCCAAGCGCTTAATTCTTAGAATTGAGCTCAAAGGATTTTATATAGAATTTGGGAAATTAATTCATAAGATTCTTGGCGATGATAGAAATTTCTCGTATAATCTATGAATAAGATATGAATGAATTCTGGTAGAATGAATGAAATATGACTAGAAAATTTCTTAACGAATACGATAATTCGATTTAGGATAATTTGATAAATTTATTTCTTTTATTTTATTCTTTGGATAGATAGGATTTCGGGTTTATTGAGATCTAGAATGGATTCGTAACATTCTACTCGCAAGATTCTAATATGCAGCGTCATCATTGGAATATATACGTAATGATAGCTAGCTGATATAGAAAATAATAGATAGAATTCTAATATTTTCTTTCTTCTTAATTTGATCTCATATTTTTTTGAATATATGTTGATATTTCAAAATTGAGGGACATTCTTAGTGGGGTGGATATAAAGGTTGGAAGCTAAAGATTTCGATATTGAATCGAGATATGGCTCTATTTTTTTTGGTTTGATAGAGCTGGAGATTTTCTACTCTTAATATTTCATGAAATTTCATCTAATCTATTTTGATGGAGAATATTATTATATCATTCTGAAAGAATTTTAATATGGTGGAGATATTTTTGCTAATGGATATTTTTAGTATTGATTATTTTTCTAATATTCGTAATTTATAGAGACTTGCCCTGGAGATAATAGATTATTTTTAATCCCCATGATTTATATAAATAAATTCTTCTGATTCAAATTGGGGTCCCCCGTACACTCTGCAATACGTATCGCTTTTGCCCAAATGCTCTTTTGTCAAGCGTCCGCCAGAAGGATTGCTACTATAATTTGCGCAACTAATGTAACGATGGCTTCTTCGTCAAAATCCTGAAAATTGCCGCATCTTTTAATTTTTGCTAAGAAGATGGAAGATCTGAGATTTAGACTGAGGATTTCAGGATAAAGATATATCTATAGATTCTGAAAGATTTTAATTCCCGTTGTATAGATAATCAAATAGAAAGAAATGATTCAAAATCTCGGAAGATTGATCGTTCGACCCAAAATCTCCGGTCCGATTTTTCCACTTCATTATTACGCGGCGGATCGGAGGAGCGCATAAATATCTGAGGATAGACGCGGCCGATTTTCAAATTCTGAAAGGTTTAGATTCTCCGTCTTGGGTCTCTACGTTCCGTGTATATAGTCAAAGATAGATAAATACGTGGAAACCCGTTCCGGGCGAGGGGGGAAGGGGGGGGGCCAGCCAAAGACCGTAGATAACCAAAGAGAAAGAAATGATTCGAAATCTCGAGAGATTTTTATAAATGCAACTATCTTGCGTCAACACGGCGAAGAATCGCGCGACGAAAAAATTCCGAGATTTTGGTCGTGCCATCAATCAAAAATCTCAGAGGTTTTAGAGCCATTAGCTTTTCTGAAGCGCTTTAAAATTTCGAGATTTTAGAGCCTTTAGAGAATTGGCAAGAGGCTTTTTAGAGGTTAGCCGAAAAGCCTAGACCATTCGACAGAAAATTTCTTCTCTCCTCTACAAGAGCTAATCATTATATAATATCAATAAATTCGATAACATTATAGAAATACGCCAGATTCTTTTTCCAACTAAAGCAATAATTCTAAATAAAATGAGATTTAGATCAAAAGCAAAAATAAATAGCTATATATATATAGATAAAATTCAAAATCATAAAATATTTAATGAGAAGAATAAATCTAAAATAGACGAAGTAGAAGAAAAATAAATAGATGATAATTATGAATTATAATAAAAAATCAAATTTCAGAATCTTAGAATTCCAGAAAAAATATTAATAATTTAGAAAATGAAGAAATAATATTTCTATCAATATATCCAGAAATTTATTTTATAAATATCATAGATTTCTATTCCGATCTCTTATATATTCGATCCGATTCATCTATAATAAATATTCGAGAATAATCATAATAAGAAGTCCTAGCAATAATCAATAAAAAGAATCGTATATAAAACCAGATGAATTCGCACGTGATAAAAACGGCCAGATGATTTATATTTCTTAGATCATCTACGCGGCGACTCGAGAAAACGATAAATTCTCATAGATAAATATAAATTCAGAAAGATCTTATTTTTCCGCAGCCGCACAAGCAATCAAAGAGAGATAAATCATGCTCAATGCCCCCCTTGCAGGCAAGTTGACAAAATTTGATAAAATTTGAGAGCTCTGCCTCGAGTCTATACATTCCGCCGAGTCGCCGCGCATCGCCGCGCAGACAACTTTTGGTCGCGCGGCTCCCGCATCTAGCCCGGCCTTTCCGCCTCATTTCTCTCTCTTAAACTATCTACGCGGTGTGGGGGAGGCGTAAATCTCCCGTGGACAGACACAAACAGCCAAAGAAAAATAAATCACGCAGAAGACCACTCCGGAGGCAAGGACCGCGCAACCGAAAATCTTCGAGATTTTTGGCCGTCCCGCCCGCACCAAAAATGTCAAAGATTTTACAGCCTCTAGTTGCCTCTAGCTTTTCCGAAAGGCTCTAAAATCCCCGAGATTTGAGAGCCCCTATAGAGTCCGCAGGAGTCGTTTTAATGGTGAGCCGGATAAGCTAGACCGCGCGCGAACGAAATGGCCGCAAGTAGCCGCGCCGTATTATTGAGGCATTTTCTAAATCGATTGATGGTGCCCATATTTTGAAGATTACCCTCGTTTGATTTAGATGATCAATCATAATTCTCATGCCCAGGAAATTCGATTGCTCAGGATTTTTTTATCACTTTTATCTATGTTCATCTCCAGTAGATACATTTGGACTAAACGTTATTCAATTCTTATCTTCTCTATTTTTCTCTTGAATGGCCTCTTTCATTCCCGGTCTGTCAGGGTGCGATGCACGAATTCGAAAGTCATGAATCCAACAGCACCTCGGATATAAAATCTATCGTGCCCATCAAAAAGCAATGTTTTCGGAGCTGGGGCCTCCAATTCCCATCCTCCAGGCTTTGGGGACGAAGCCTTTGTACCAAGCTCGAACACCTCAAGTTCGCAACATTGACAAAATCCAAAGCTTTAGCGAAACTCCAGGCCTCCTTCTCGAAAAAGCTCAAGGAGAGTTGCTGGCAGTGTCCTGTCATCGTCTCAAAATCTCCACCCTCACTCTCTGCAATGGCAAACTGATAAGAGGGAATTCGCCATCTGCTGGGCAGTGAGTGCTCGTGACCGTCTGTTTTCTCTGGTACGTTCGCATATGAGCGCTCCAAGCTCGAAATGAGGATGGATGTGCAACAGCCCGTGCCCAGCAGTTGCCGCATGCGTCCCTCCCCTGAGGTCTGTGGGAAACCTTCCACATCTTTGGACACTATATTGATTTTCAGCACATCGGTCCAAGCTGACCCTAGGAGATGTTACGCTCAACTGCGCAGCTGCAAGAGCGAAGAATTCATAAGCTATGCCTGCACAGCATGAGATTGTTTGGCAAATGTGCATCAGTGAAGGCAAGCTCAGTTCTAAACTGTAGTGCTTCATCTTGCAGCGCAAGCACAACCCTGGAATCCCGGCAATGAAGAAACAAAAGCCCAGGGTATGTATGAGCACAGTTAAGCCGCCAAAGGCCCTGTGAGCAGCATCCTTGGCACGCTTCTTGAAGCCTGAAAGCCTGCATGCCCAAACGAGGTTGCATCGCTACCTTTGTTTGGAGGCACCCCAATGCTGGGTGCGTTTTGTGTCCCATTTTTGTTGGACCTCCCGCGTCGGGTCGAAGGAAGGTCGATCTCTCGCTCTACTTGTTTGGCCTCGAGTTTTTCCTGGTTTCAAACGTGCGCGCTTGCTTTTGCAGGACGTGCAGCGTATCATCCCCCTTCAGTGACCCCACCCACCACCCCAATCTATACTAGGAACGGGGGGCATCCATCAAAGTCCTTATGAGCTTACACGTGGTTTATGAAGTGGCGCGGAGGGGTGTGCGTGGCGTTTTTTTCCCCAAGGTTTGGCTCCACTTTTTTTCCAAGGTTTGGCTCGACGACCACTCTCATTTCCTTGTAATTGTCATCATTTTTGGACTCTTGGATACGAAAAGTGTCAACTGTTACAGGGATCGCGGGGGTCACGGTCGCCATCCTCGTAACTGTCGACGTTTTTCGACTCTCGGATGATGTTCTAATCTCAAAAATGTCGACAGTTACAGGGATCGCGGAAGGCAGGGTCGCCATCCTCGTAACTGGCGACGTTTTTGGACTCTCACACCTTCTTGGAGATTCAAAAGTGTCAACTGTCACAGGGATCGCGGGGGTCACGGTCGCCA